GGGGGCTGAACGGTGCATTAATGCATTATAACCCCGTATAATAACTTCCGTTCATATTAAACTACCGCAGTATCGCTAAGAAGTAAGCAGTTTAAAGTCTACACATAACGGAAAATATTAAACGTAACTCTTCGACGCAACATAATTATGTAAACTGATCTACACATACCCAAGAATTGCATTCGTGTAGATTAAAATGACTGTATATAACGGATTTACTTTACAGATTAAACAGCCATTCACACATGCGCCCCTCCTCCCATCCTTTGCCCAAAGCGAATTAGAGACGCAGTAGGTCAGTGGTTCATTTAGCATTTTACGTTTCAGCATTAAACCATAGGACGCACTTTTCACGGGTCTTTGAAAGCGTAGATATGTGCTAAAATTGAGCCAACGTTTTAAATCAGCTAACCTCGTTGTTTCAACGCGTGGACGGCGATCAAGTTAATGATAAAATGCAAATCGAGATGTAGCGTGGAACGGTTAAGGCCGGTCGCTTTGTCGCTGATTTCAATCGATTGTTTCCGCCAATTGGCCCAGTACAGAAAGTCGCCGAACTCCGTCAGTACCGTAGGCTTCATGTTCGGTTCTTGAACGACGAAACGACGCGAGCCACCTGAAACGTGCACACCGAGGTTAAGACAAATATGCAAATACGAATGCATTAAGTCGCGCCCGATACAGTTCAGTAACATTTCATCCGCAAGGAGACGACTAAAGGTGGTCGATTACGGCACATAACGTTGAATAATGCTCGAGTTTCTTCCCTGCTTCGTAGAATTTCTGTTTGTGTTTCATTCTATTTCGATATATATTTCTGTTTCGTATAATAGTAAGCATAACAACATATAATCTTATCCATCAACACAAGAGTGCCATAGTACAGTACCATTAACTACAGTACCGCAATGTCGCATAAATAACAGTATACCTATGAACTCAAGACGTTCGTCGGATGAACGTGGGTAAGAACCACAAAAAACTGACATCTGAGGGCAAAATTTTTTAAGGCCTTCATTCAGTAGTGAGCCAAAAAAGATTAATGTACTGACTGCATTACAATATCCATAGAATATCTGCCATTATGACATAGCAAAACTTTATAACGTTATAAGTACTATTGTATAACACTATGCCACAATCGTAAGTACATCGCTGTAATACAGTATTTGGATGCATCACAGAACCACCTTACCATCCTATCATGCTATATCCAGCTACTAAAGCAACTAAAAGTAAAGCTTTCTTTATAGTACAGTATTACAGTTATGCTATACTACAATACGGCAGTACAAAGCAATGATAACGTAAGAAGTAAAAATCTGTTTACCATTCAGATCGACACTCTGTATGCTCGGCGCGTCTACCTCTGACCAGTAGAGTCGGTTAGAACTGTAGTCAAGGGTCAGGGCGAATATACGACCGACGTCCTTCAGAAGAGTGATGCGATTTCTGCCGTCCAGCTCAGAACGCTGAAGTGTGGGCGGGTCTAACCAGTCGGCCCAATAAAGGTAACTGAAAAAATAGATATTAAGCCGTAACTGGCTGATCGGTTGCTCCTCGTTAATGATGACTCCTTACCCTTCCGCCGGGTGGACAACCAAAGCACGAGGGTTTGTGTTCTTCCACACGATGATACGTCTTGACTTTCCGTCTAACTTTGACATTTCAATATGTAGGTGACCAGAATCAGACCAGTAGAGATTTTCGGCCAACCAATCGATCGCGATCCCTTCCATGTATTCGAGACCGGCAGTGAGGATCAGTTCCATGTTACTGCCGTTAAGGTATGCTCTGCATATTGTCTGAAAATTGCATCGGGCTTAACAACAACACGTTTGCCCATATAACAGATAAAGTAAAAAATGGAAATGGTGTCTTTTATGAAACAATTCAAATAGAAATTCGAAGTCTTGTGCAGGATGACACCGCATACTGTATTCATCATATAATATTCTCCAACACTTCAGAGATCATACTCAGTGCGTCTTCACGGAGAGACTTAACATCAATGCAATGTTATAGCACAAATCTATACAGTAATGTATGAAACTTCATTATTGAGGCAGATGCTGAGACTTACCGTAATAATCCAGTAAAACTGCGGTATCAACCGCGACTTGAACTGAATCGCAAATAAGTTTACGAATTAATCTAACTCTATACCTGTACGAAAGGACTACTACCAATCGACACCGGCACAGGTTAAAATTAATTAGCGATGCTCTTCACACCGGTGTACACTGAAACTGGGTCGTCTTTTCGTCCAAATTGATTGGCAGGTTTTGCCTATGCCTACCGATCATTAAATCTACCCACCCTCATGCTTAAGAATCAGCATTATCTGCAGCAGGTATTTAGGCTGAGGCTTAGACAGTAATGCCGTAAAACTGACAAATCTAAATTATCAACTTGGACTGAACAGCGAAATAATTTCAATTTCTCTGTATACCGGAACGGACAGATTACCACTCCAGGCGATAACACACACATACAATAATATCCTGTTACACATATCGACCAAGGGGAGGCATGTAATGGCCCCATAATTAATGGGCTTTCTTGAGAAGGCAGTCCGTTCATTTATGCAATGATTCGACACTGATTTAAACAGAACACAGAAATGACGAAATCATCACTGTCATACCCCTGTCGTGCCTTCGGAGCCAGTCCAGTAAATGCGATTGCTCTTGTAGTGAAAATCGAGAGCCAGCGGCTGGCTGACATTGTGCAGACGCAGACTGTCCAGGTTAGTCGGGAAGCTGGACAGTGACACGCGCAGAATGTCGCGCTGAAAGCAAAAATAAGTGTAGGACAGCACAGAATGCACTCATAACAACTAAAGAGACAATCGACAAATAAATACAAAAACCACATGCGAACAGATCGGGTCTTCAGAACTCTGATTTAGCCTACTCGGTGCATCATGCAGAAAAAATGATCCCGCTGAGGCAGGTGAAGAAATTCAAGTATAGTGGTGTCGTCTTCAGAAATGACAATAGGGAAAAAACACGTATCGACTAAGAGAATTACGCAGTGATAGAGTCGGTAGAAAAAACCAAGCAGTAAAGGAAAGCTGTCATCTTCAAACCTGTTTACGCGCCTGTTCTGCCGAATGGTCGACGGTCATAGCTGTGAAAGTATGCTATCCCGGGTCAGTATGAGACTCCTCTGCAGTAATATGTGGGTGTCATAAAACTCGAAAAGATAAACATTACGCAAACCGAGATACCTTCACTTGTAAGTCGCTTCGACATTAAATCAAGAGATCACAACTGTGAAGGTTTTAACACGCAGACAGGATGATGAACTAAAAGAGACATACAGAAGCCTGTGAGGGCAATTCCCACGAGAAGGACAAGAGCGGGCATGAAGACTAGGCAATGGCGATCCTTGCCACCTACGAAGAAAAGATCCTTCGAAGTGACACAGATGACTGACAGGGGCGTGCTTTAATGCTTGACGTTCAGATATATTTCCGCCATTGGCAGAAGACGGATCGGCATGGACGATAAGCTCCTCTACACCGTTGTCCCGCAATCCCCTAGGCTCTGAAGACAGAGAAACACGTACGATATCGCGCTGCGTGAACATCAGGAACGCTTCGGGAATGATGCACGTCTCGCCGTTGGCGTCCAGCTCCCATCCGACTGGACACATGCACACCAGGCCAAGTGGACGGTAGAGACACAGGTGCGAGCAGCCACCATTCTTCACCGCACAGCCGTTGGAGACATCTAGACAAAAGAAATCACGTAGAAATTAGAGCGAATCACTAACCATGTTGACATGCAA